GTGTAGTAGAGCATCAAATGTTAAAATGTTTTTAGAGCAAATTTTTAAGAAAAATTATTTTTCATAAAATATTAAAATTTGGACAACTATTCAGCATTTTGTTAGCAGATTTGTCGTCCGGTGATAAAGCGGTTTGGCTCGACCGTTAAAAAAAAATTCGAGCTTTAATTTCTTTTGTTCAACTTGCATTTTTTATGTAAATTTTTACGTAAAAGACCACATGTTGAAAATTTGATCTTGCAATTGGGAGGGGCGTAGATACAGTAAAAACAAAATTCACATTTTCAGATAAATTAAAAACGAAATTTTTTGTGATTGCATTAGAGAGCCAGCCTTGCTCCACCTCTAAGGTTTCTTCACCCATACATACATAACATACTTAGTTCTTTTGAAATCGCTTTGGAAGCTTTTTGTAAGTTTTGGAAAACTGTAGATAAATTTCAAAAATTTGTTTAAATCCATTAAAATGAGCGATACAGAGTTTGATTCTTATTTGTGGATTGCCATTTTGTTGATCATCTTGATGGCGTAATGGTTAAGGTGCTCGTTCCTGCTGCTGCTGTAGCATTCACGTGCGCGCATGTTTCAAAATAATGAAGTATTCGATGGAAACGCAATAAAAATTGAAATGAAAACCATCAAATGAACATTTCAAAGAGCAACAAAGTGGGTAGGAGCAAGATGCGGACAATTGAAGCTAATGATCTGGCAAAAAATGCGGACGAGCAGGCGGAGGAAGATGTGAGCTGCGAAACAATCAGACTAATGAATAAGAAACTAACGCGAAGTGTTTTATTAGATTACCTACCATCGGACCAGCCAGATGTCTCCATCTTCTTGCTCCCTCCCTATCTGTCTCTCACTTCTTTTTTTTATCTTTATTCACATTTTTATTTTAAAAATTTTATTTTCGTTTTCATTATCTTCATTTTGGTAATTTTTGAAATTTCAAATTTATTATTTCTGTCAGATTTTTAACATATTTTATTTACATATATTTTAAATTTATTAAAAAAAATAAAATAAATTATGAAAAAGTTGAAAAAATGAAAGGGCAAACACAAATGGAATGTATGCAAGCCAAACTGGCGGAAGTGCTGGCGGTGTCCATCTCAATCAATTTGAAATATGAAACCAGGATGAACTCTGCGACTGCTATCATTAAAATGAATGATTGCATGAATGAAATGATGAATGACCAAAAATATTTAAATAAATAAAATGGAAAACTAATTTCTAAAGATTTTGTTCAATTTTGAAATTAATAATCTCCAAAATTGACAGTGTTGTAGTTTAATAGACATTGAAATTGAAACGAGTCATCGTATTGCATAAAAATCTTGCGTTGACATAATTTATGACTCTATGAAAAAATCCATCAGATGCAAGTTTGATGTTTGTACATGCGAGGAAAAATAGAAAAAAACGCTGTGTTTATAAGCATTTTACAAGCGTATAATTTATAAATAGATGGAAACATACAGTGAAATATTTATTTATGTGCTTGGATATGCGATGTATCATGTGCGGTCGATGAATGCATGGCTAGTAGGAATGATGTTGTTGTTTGTTTTGTAGTTGTTCGTTTTGTAGTTGTTTGTTTTGTAGTTGTTTGTTTTGTGGCTGTTTGTTTTGTGGGTGTTTGTTCTGTTATTTCATTGTTATTGTATGTTGTATTGTGCTGTGGAATAGTTGTTGAAATGTTGTGTTATTGCTTTGCTACGTTGTTGTTGCGTGGTTGCGTTGTGTTGTTGTTAAATTATTGTTGCGATATGTCGTTTTGTTCTTGTATAGTTGTTGAATCGTTGTTGCATTATTGCTATGTTGTGTTGATGCACTGTTGTTTTATTGTGTTGTTTCTTTTGTTGCAGTTGTATTGTTGTAGTTGTATTGCAGTTGTTGCATTGTGTTGTTGCAGTGTTGTTTAAAGCTCATGGTCTTGGGATCAACGCTTTATTGTTAGTTTAATGCTAGGATGATTGTGTTGCGATTGTTGTTTTAATGCTACTATGACGGGGTTTTTGTTGCTCCCTCATGTCAGATAAACATTTATAATTACATGTTCGTCTCGTCGTAAAGCTGTGAATCGAAAGACAACCAGCCATCTTCTCCACTTGTTACAGTTAACAAGAGATGTGTTACATGGTTGGTGGTTTGCATTTGTTGCTATTATTCGTTCTTAAAAAGTTACCTATAACATTACCGTCATCATCGACATATCCTCATTTTCATCATTGCTATCATCATCATCTTCTTCCTCCCCATCGTTATCCCCACCATTGCTATCATCATCATCATCATCATCATCATCATCATCATCATCATCTTCTTCTTCCTCCTCAACGTCATCATCACCATGACATATATCATCGTCATATTTGCTACTATTATCACAAGCACCTTTTTATTATTGTTGCGATTGTTTCAAAATTAAAGCCATTTTTATTCGCGACGTCAACCATCATAATCATCACCAACATCATTTCGTCATCACTGATTCCATCACCAATATTCAATCGTCAATATTAATAATAATCTTAATAAAATTAATATTAAGTAAAAGGTCTTAAATTGAAATCAACGTTCACATTTTAGTCGAACGGCAACTCACAGTTGGATGGAACAACTTCGAATTGGGTTCATTGGCTTTTATCAATTGTGGCTTGTATCAATTGTGGCTTGCATCAATTGTGGCTTGTATCAATTGTGGCTTGTATCAATTGTGGTTTGTATCAATTGTGGCTTGTATCAATTGTGGCTTGTATCAATCTTTGCATGCAACATTTTCCACTCTGTTAAAAACTTAACAAGGAAAACATGAAGGGACGTGGAATTAAAAAATGCATGTAGAGAAATACAAGCACTTGAAATGTTGGACAGTAATTTGTCGCTGCCATGTTCTACTTCTGCTGATATTCTGGTAGTTAAATATCAACAGGACGGATGGTCTTGTATCGCATAGGGCCTCTGAGATTCTTCAACTAATTCGCTCTACAAATCATCAAGTGCAAATGCAAATAGAAATAAAAGCCGATAGAATGATTTTTCAAATCTTCATAACTGATGCAATCACATCAAAACATTTAAAATATTGCAAGTTCACCTGCTTTCAATGTCTGTTATTAACGCGCAATTAATGCAACGAAGTAGGTGCTAACTTTCTTTGTGTTATTAATCTATTTTCTTTATTCTAAATATATGTTAAGTGTTATTAATTACATATACATCTATTATACATTAATTTATTTATTGCAATACACTTACACAGACACATAGACACGAACACACACACACAGACACACACACACATACACACAAACACACACACAGACAAACAAATTCACACACACACATATATATAGACTGAAAAAGACAAATGATATATCATATGTAAACCTCACTAAGTTGAATATGTTTTCATTGACTGACTTTTTAACGAGCAGTTTTATGACGCAAGAGATGACGCTTGACCATCAATTTGTAAAGCCGGGAGGGTGAGGAAGGAAGCTCGCTGGACTGAACTGGACACTAAAATTTGTATTCATATCATATTTTTATTGCAATGGCGTCATTTTACTGCAAACACCAGTTTCCTCTTCCTTCCGACGCATAGAACATCACTGACCGACACGCCAGAGATATAATCACGAACACTGCATCTTTGTCATTACCGAGATGAACAACATCATCACCCTCCAAAAATTAATGTAATCATTGAAACAAGCGTCATCATCGAAACCAACGTCATTATTATCATCGTTGTCGTCGTCGTTATCATCATCATCATCATCGTCATCACCATCATCATCACCACCACCAACACCATCATCATCATCATCACCATCAAAACAAGCACTCTCCTTATCAGCAGTAATATCAGCTTATCAACATCATCATCAGCACCTGCAGAACGTGGTCAATAATAATTTCCCTCACGTGATAGTCCCGATTACGTTACGTCATCATGACGTCACAGAACAATCGAAAAATGATTCGCGTCAATATATTATTAATGAGATTTTCTCACCCTCGCGTCCAATAAAAATGAATGGCAGTTTGTTTGTTTGTTTCAACTGCCTCCTTGCTTTACGACCAAATCAATTTTTGTGCTTCGAACGTGTGCGTGCGTGCACTTGTGCGTGCGTTCACTTTTGTTTTATTACGTCTTTTAGTTTCACAGATACAATTATTAAACGTTAGCAGCATTATTTATTTTATAAATTTGTATTTTACCCTTATTTCTGTACAGTCGCCAAGACCCAAAATGAAAACGCAGACGGGAGGGTGTTCAATGCAATCAATGGCCCCCCCCCCTACTATGATAACTTCTCAATGTCACGCACAACACGAGCGATACAAATACGCATACGCAAACGTAAGCAGACAGACAAGCAGGCAGGCATGCAGACAGACAGGCAGGCATTTTTTGCGACGTTCATAGTATTTCATGCTCGATCGTGTATAAAATCGCTTGTGAACCATTTCATACAGTGCGGGCTTGCGTGCGAGGGATGCATGTATATATCTATAATATATTGCACATGTGCGTGTATGCATGAATATGTGCGTGTCTATGTACAATATAGGTTTGTAATTGTTATAATAACTCATCATCCAGCAAAAAACCGCCGACCATTCAATGAGTGACCAACAAACGAAACTGCAAATCTGTAAAGTTATTCATGCGAATGTTTGTAGTTTTTAGTAGCAATACTAACAACACGACACTACATTATACCACACCACATCACACCTCTCCTCGACACCACACAACAATTACACCACAACAACTGTACAACCACAAACACAAACTACAAAGCAACTGCATACATGGTAGATCACTGAAAATTTGCTATCAATACGTGTTCAGAAAAGTTAATGCTACAAAACATGTTAATGTTATTAAACGCAATTCTCTGTAATGCATATTTATTTTGTGTCTTTTTATGCAGTTTCTACAGACCCCGACCACTTACATACCGTTCCTAAGATACTTACAATTACTGGTTTAAGTTGCATCCCATGCCTATAAAGTTTTCAAAGTTTGGATGGACGGCGTTTTTCTCAGGCCAGGTCAGAGCACTACAACTTCTACTTTCTGGCTAAGTTGACTTTTGATAAATTAATAGTTAACATGATGACTGAATAGTGGTTTAGTATTGAAAATGTTATCACTGCTTGTTGAATTTTTTGCTTTGCTTGTCGGTTCATGTACAGTGAGAAACTCGCCAATTTGTTTGAAAGAAGGATATAATTTAACCGTTGATGCTAGAAAATGAAAATTGAAAAATCCTTCAAACAATTTTATCTTTATTTGGAACACTTAATTAAATAGCCTATTGAAAACCACCATCTGCATCAACAACCAAAAATATTGAAAACCACGTCTGCTAGAAAAATCTCATCTCTTGCAACAATCACACACACAGCAACCATAACAAAAACAACTTTAACAACAATAACCATGTTTTCATCAACAACTACCATATTCAGATCAGCAGCAACAACAACCACAAAAACAGCATCAGCTTCAACAACAGCCACATAATTGTATTAGCGGCAACAACCATCACCAACACCAGCGACAAAAATCGCATGCATCAACAGCTTCAAAAATCTTAACATCTTAATTAAAAAGCAGCACAACTACATTGGAAACAACAACTCCTTCATCAGTAGTATAAATTAATTTATTTACCTAGATGAGTATGTGTTAATGAAGCGTTGATGTTTGAACTGAACTGCTAATCTTCTGTTGAAAAAGAAAGTGGCGATTTGGAAGAAAAAATTGGTAACATTTGATTCGAATAGTGCTAGAAATCAAATTGACGTTCAGTACGAAACGATCATCGTTCTGTTAATCTCATCTAAGAAAGTTTAAAGAAACTAATCCGAACAAACTCTGAGATGAAAAAAATTAGAATCGGGATGTGAAAAGAATGAGATGAGAGAGTAGTTGCCCGCATGCATGGGTGAACAACTTCAAACAAACATCTTCCGTGGATTATGAAAACACATCAAAACAAACATTCAATCCACCTGCCTTAAACTTTTTCCATCATTACCATCACCAAGAACAAAAACATTGAAAAGAACAACAACCTCATCTGCTGAAGGACAACCCAAGCAATAATGGAGAAGCAGCAACATTTAAAACATAACAACAATCTTAATCCCAGCAACAACACCACCACCATCACCAACAAAAACAAAATAACAAAGTCAACTGCGTCAACATCAACAGTAACACCATCAAATACAAGCACCGCGACATGTCTCTCACAAATTTATAACATACGACTCTTTAATGGAAAAACCACATTATTTGAATTGTATGTTAAAATTTATATCAAAACTTTATAGAACATACACACTCACACACACACACACACATACACACACTCACACACACACGCGTTACAGACCACACAAACACGTACTTATTCTCACATATGCATGGAAAGTATATTATTGTTTTGTGTCTTCTCAGTATTGTCCTGTAGTTGGTCAACCATTGGAAGGCACGTTCCCGTTGTGTGCAGATGAAATTATTATTAATATTATTTAATATGGATGTTGGCAGAGGAGGAATGGTCAGGAGAGTAGGAGGAAGAGGGAGTAGTATGGGTATCCCTGCATAAAGATGCAAGGCGATTATGCCATACATCAAAGAGGAAAATGCGGCTGTCCGCCACTGAACAGACCGCTGCAACATTATTATTTGCGGAAAATTAAAATCCCATTAATTTAGAGAAAAAAAACGAGTTGAATGATCATTAAAAAAATTATATTGTATGCTATTAATTACGAAAAATATTAAAAAGCAGAATATGATTTTAATCCATTGAAACGTTAACGTGGCTGGAGTTATTGAGAAGTTTCAAAAATTTATACATCAACAGACAGCAGAACAAATAACAAAATGATCATCAAAGTAAAACAAGTTTAACAAAATTATGACTAAAATTGTAATAATAATTAATCACCAGAAAATATGACCCGACCGTTGAAGCCAAGACAGCCAAGACAGACGAGGTCAAACTATTTTTTAAATACTTTGCATTTACAAGCTCATTTGAACATTAACATTAGCACAGACATTAAGTAACATGAACAAGCCAGCGCACTAATAAGCCCACACGCACACACACACACACACACATACATACACACACACACGCACATATTAACACACATCTGAGCAAATTGGTGTATAAACAAAGAGATGTAGAACTTTCATATCTTATTCTATCTGTCCATTTGTAAGCCCATCCATCAATTTGTCAACGTGATTCTTTTCACTAAAACGAGCAACAAACGCGCAAACGGGCAAACAAACAACACAAACGATCTGGTTCACGCTGGTTTGCACAAATCTAGCAAATGTTATCATGTAGCGTGCAAAAATTGAAAGAGTTTTGGCGTGTCTTGTAGCTTTCGCAATAAAAAATGATTTAATGTTCATGTAAAAAAGACAGGCTTGCCACAACATGTCAGTCTGAACAGGAGAAATGTTAATTATAAGGCACGAGGGAGGTGTGCTATGTGCCGTCCTCGATATCAACTGCTCACGAGCGCGCTGGCTGCCTTTTTAATTCCGATCAGTTCACTGAAAATGATCACGACAAAAAAAGAATTGATAAAAATAAACAAATTAAAAATTACTCCGACAACATAAAGTTTACTATCATTTTGGATTGTTTTTTATGATGCAATTCTAACAGAGGCAGAGTTGCTTAAGTAGGCTGCTCTACGTACTTCCGACTGAACATTTACACCGCATAAATGCTGCACAGTGCACACAGCCACACACCAGCAGACGTTCTCAGGCATTGGTATGTAGACGCAAGGACCGGACCATCGCGCCTGGTACGGGATATGGGATAACTTTTGACTGGAACTGATACTTTGAACGACGACAACCCAAGAAAAATACTGCTGCAGTCTGAGCTAACTCGTCAACCAATATATATTAATAAACATTTCATCACCATTTTTAACATAAGAAATAAAACTAAAAAAATTTTAATCACTTTTTGAAAAGAAATATGAAGACATGCGTAAGAAGACCGTGTATGTTTAATGTAGCTATAATGTAGGGTATTTAAACCAAGCTAAAAATCAAGGAAGCTACAAAAACTATAATGTTGAATTTTAAATAACCAGATATTTATATGCATACATCAAATATTTTTACATTTGAATGTATGGTTATAAAACACTGGCACGCACACAACAAACCTTTGTACGTGTGTGCATACATTTGTGTATGTGCACTCACTGCAACTGTACACTCTATTTGTACACATGATGATCAAACTGTCTGGAGCGGCATGAGAAATTCCTGTCAGTCCAACATCCTCCGTAATTATGGACAGTCTCTTCAAGCATATATTTCAAATTCATTCCATCCCATGAAGATTGTCCAACGCCAAATTTTAAACTTCCTGCTACGAATTGCTTGGCGACAATTCAGTATTTCTTGTAGTTAACCAAATAAATTAATAGACAAACGAACGATAGAATATTGAATAACAGCATAAAAAGTGAAATATTGATAAACGTATGATTATTATTAATATATTGGCTATCATAGACATTGAACGTGCGTGTATGCATGTGTGTGTTGTGTGTGTGTGTTGTGTGTGTGTTGTGTGTGTGTTGTGTGTGTGTGTGTGTGTGTGTGTGTGTGTGTGTGTGTGGTGTGGTATATAACAGGCGGATGAAGGCGAGCATGGAACGTATGGAGCCTTCAGAAGACATCAGCAGACCGCCTCACTGTTTCATTCAGTTTTATATACTGGCAATTTGTTAGCTTATTTGTTAAATTCAATCTTAATTTTTACTACATTTGACTTTGAAAGCTTTCTTTGAAACTTCAAAAGTGAAGAACCTTTGAAGTGAGTTTAAATTTTGAACGTGTTACAAATTTGACGCATGTTAGTGTAATTCATTTCCATATTATTATTATTATTATTTTATTATTATTATTATTATCAATAATTATAAATACTTTTGACATATCTCCAGTTGGTTTCTGTAATAACTTAATCTTTCATTGTTTAAAATTATGTGGCCGGTTTCTTTTAACGACGAGTTGATAGAGACTGTTATATGGTTATCATACGGCATTTTATTGCGACAGAAACAATTTGTGATATAAATTTGAATATATTTCACCGCTCTGTACTTTTATTTTGAATTAAGCATAGTGGTTTTATATTGACAATTCATTATTTTACCATTTCATAGTTTTAATTATTTATTACCCTGGCTCAGAACAAAAGAGTATATATCATTATTATTATTAGTATTTTAATTATTATTATTATTAAAATACTTTGCGAACTGTCATTTTAATGACAATAATCATAACATTATATTAATTATTATGTAATAATAATAGTAATAATATTATTATTAATAATTAAAATTTATTAATATTTAGTAGTGTTTATATACTCTGATGTCTATGGTGGCGATAAAATATATTATACAGTGATTTTTTTGTTACAAAAAATGCTATTATTGTTAGATCTAGATCCTTTTTTTTTGCAAAATTGCATTTGAAAGTTTTCTTGCTGAATTAAATGGCAACTAACTGATAAAAAGACAAGAACAAAAAAAATGGGATATCATGCATAATTATTTTTACAAATTTCCATCACAACGAACTCTAAAAAAAATTATTTAATCAAAATTTTTTTCTGATTTCTCACAAGCGTTCAACGATCGTATTGGCATGAAAAACGTCGTAAAGTTATGTACGCTTTTACTGTCCTCATCATCATCAATATTTTTGCGCGGGAGTTTTTTGGTGTTATTGTTTTTATCATCGTCATCATCATCGTCATCATCGTTATCATCATCGTCATCATCGTCATCATCGTTATCATCATCATCACCATCATCATCATCATCATCATCACCATCATCACCATCATCACCATCATCATCCTTTTCGTCGTCGTCATCATCATCATCATCGTCGTCGTCATCATCATCATCATCATCGTCATCGTCATTATCATCATCATCATCATCATCGTCATCATCATCATCACTAATAATTAACCTCGGGAAACGTTCCTACTGTTTCATGTCATCATCATCATCAATCAACATCACCAATCAACATTACCAATCAACATCGTCATCGTTTATCATTTTTATTATTTTTACTATCTTATTATTAACATTATTGAAACTTTTATTACTATTATTATTAATAGTAGTAGTAGTAGTGGTAGTTGTAGTAGTAGTATTAAAAGTAGTAGTAGTATTAAAAGTAGTAGTAGTAGTAATAGCAGCAACAGCAGCAGCAGCAGTAGTAGTAATAATAGTAGTAGTAGTAATAAAGCAATAGTAGTAATACTAGTGATAGTAGTAGTAGTAGTAGCAGTAGCACTCCTAGTAATAGCATTACTTATTTACTTAATTATTTTTTAAAATTTTTTTTTTGTTTTACTCAACTTAATCACTGCAGGAATTTATCATCAAAAGCACCAACCCCATCTTCGTTGCAATTTTTACTTAATTAAAACAATCAATCATTTAAATAATTAATTGGTTAATGAATGATTTAATTAATTAATTAAATACTAAACCAATTATTGATTTCCTTACAAGCCGTTTAACGTAAAACACAAAAGTTTGTAATGAGACTTGGCACTCTTGTGAACAACATCACGCTCGCATGCTGCCGATCTTTTTTCCACGTACGACATGGAAAATTTTTTCAATCATCCAGCGGACCAGTTTTTTTTAAAATGTTTGTTCTGTCTTCTCAGTGCAAACATTGAATGGAAGAGTTTATTATAAAGTATTATTTTTTGTCCGGGTTTTTTCAAAGAAAAAAAAAATAGAAACAAATATTCATCTGGGAAACTTTTTTGGAATGTCTTTTACTTGAAATGATGTTGTGGTTCTGTTTAGTTGAGTACTCTAACTTAAGAAGCACGTTGATTCCTTTGATAACTTTATGGAGTTTGTCATTTGGGATGCTTCACAGATGACTGCCTGGCTGTGCAAATTTTTCAATGCGAACCGGAAACGATCCAGGTGGTGCTCATTCACTCGTTTGTTCGTTCATTCGTTCGTTCACTCGTTCGTTCATTTGTTCTTTCATTTGTTCATCCATTCATTCATTTGTTCATTCATCCATTCATTCCGTCATTCATTCCTTGACTTAATTATATAATCTTGTTAGCTAATCAATTAGTTGTTTTGTTCATTTATTTAGGAATTCATTCATTTGAATATCGATTTGTTGATTTATAAACTTATTAATTAATTAATTCATTTATTCATTCATTTCCTCATTCACTCATTTAGTCATTTACTCATTTATTAATTTAAAGTCTATCCTTTAGTTTGTTAACATCAAGAACGCGGCCATTCAACCACAGACAGTAAAAACGAAGGATAAATTTAAAAAGTTGGGTATTTAGACAAAACACAACAAAACAGAAAAAAAACAAAACAAAATCAAAAAGTATGAATTACAAAATCAAAATCTTTTCAGAACAATAGTCTCCGCCATTTCATTCAATCCCCGCACTCACACAAACGCTGCGATGCAGAGTTTTGATTGTGTTGGCTGATAATATCCTTGCAAAATTGTTTTAAACAACTTTTAATTCTGTTACAATTAGAGTTTGATTGTCATTGCATGCATGTATGTGTGCTGGCAATCTAGCAATTATTTTGTATATATTAATTAGAAAACAAACTGTCAACTATCGCAAATTTGTTTGTCTGAAACAACATAGGCCAGACCGTGACCTTCACCTATGGTCCACCAGAGTCTATCTAATGCTTTCAATCTGCTATTAAGATGCAGCCGTTTTTAGATTTTTAATGTTTAATTGAATCTTTCACCATCATCAACACTATCATCATCATCGTCATTATCATCATCGTCATTATTGTCGTCATCGTCATCAGCATCTTCATCATTACCAGAGTAACATTTCTACTATTTTTAATCATCGTCATCATTTTTGTCATCATCATTGCCACCATCATCAGAGTAACGTCCATGCTATTTTGAATGATGCAATTCAACTGCTGCCACGTCAGCACTGTCCGCCATCCTAATCGATCATCGTCATTCATCGTCGTCATCATCATCGTCATCATCGTCATTATCACCATCATCATTGTCATCACCCTCCTTCTCCTCTTCCCCATCATCGCCACAATTATTTATTCATTGTTATCATCATCATCATAATTTTATCATTGTCTTCATCATCATCATCATCACCATCGTCGCCATCATCATCATCATCATCATCATCATCATCATCATCATCACGTATTTTTATTAATTGCCACCTCCATCATCGTTTGTTACAAATCTCAATACAGTGTTATAGCTTTATAACTACGATTCATCTGTAACAGTTGGAGCTATAGATGCAGCGCTAGAGAATTAATGATATAATGCCCATGCGCGAGAGACGAGGTGTGGGTATGTAAGCGAGAAAAAAAAAACAACGAGGACGGACATTTTTGTTAACGTTGGGAGGTAGCGAGTTAATTAACGTATTCTGATTTTGCCTTAAATTAAGTTGGTAATTAGTGGTAGATAAAACAACATTTTGTTAGTCGTTCTTCGTAATATCTGTGGGTGGTTAAAATAGACATTTGAAGAACCAAACATATCGAAACGAGAAGAAACCTCGAGAAATAACCCTGGTGCACCGTGTTGTCCGGAGGCCGTCGCTACAACAGCATTCGCACACCCCAGTCACACAACAACAGGGCAGTGACTACATGAAGAAATATACCCACGTATAAACACATTCCATAAATTCTCCAGAAGAAGGCCGAGTTGACGGAGAGGTATATAACGTCGGTGTCCACGAAACTAATTGTGAAGGAAGTTGTACAGAACCCCAGGTGTAACACTTACAGACTTGATATAAACTGTTAACTTTGTTATTCAATTTGTTATCCCAGTTGGACTAATTTGTTGTTTAATAAAAGATGAAAACTTAAAACCTTGAGAGTTTTATTCTGTCTACCCCTAACTCACGCTACATTTTTGGTGGCAGCGGTGGGATACACACTCAAAAAAAAAAAGTGTGTATTGACGTAGACAGCAGGTGAGGAGAGAAAGAAGAAAAACAAAAAAAAAAGATTTTACAACTGTAAACAACAACCACAGAAATTCAGGTAGAAAATCTCCGAAACTACATTCTAGAATTCTCAAATAAACGAATTAAACAACAATTCAAGTGATTTGTGATAGATTCGGTGTAATAACAGTAATTTTTGAATAATTATGAATAACAGATAAGTAATAAAGAATTAATGAATTAAAGTATAAATTTCATTAAAATAATTAACCTAATAAAAGAAGCTGGTGTGCCGAGTAGTTGCATCAATATTTTTTAAAAAGTAGCACCGAGAAAACAAAACAATAACAATTTCCGCGAAAGAATTTAAAATAGTAATCGACAATCGAAGTTGGCTGTTTCGAAAATAAAAGTTGTCTATTTTGGTACAAATCATGGTGGACAGGCAGCTTAGATCAAGGACAGGCATGTCGGAACCGGAGGAAGGGGTTAACGTTACGGACCCCGTACAAATGATGCAACTGAGGAAGTTGGAGTTGGAGATGCAGATTCTGAAGGAAGCAGCAGATCAAGATAGGCAAATAAAGAAGGAAGCAGCAGAACGAGAGAAAGAGAAAGTTGAACGACAGCTAGAATTAGAAAAAGAAGACAAGAAATTACGCAGAGAAGCTGAACTGGGGATGAAGGCTCAAGAGAACAAAATCACATTGAAGAGTTCCATAACTGGTATAATCCGAAGATTTAGCCCAATGATGGGGTTATGCCCAACGGATCCCCGGGAGTTACCAGCGTATTTTCAAAGAATTGAAGGAATGTTTGATAGTTATGAAATCACTGAAGATATACGAGCAGAGCTGTTGGTAGCAAATATGGAGACGAAGATGAAAACAGTTTTGAATGAATTAAAAGGGGAAGACTATCAGAATTATGAAGCCATCAAGCAACGTATCATACATTCATGTCGGTTCAGTCCTATGAAACTTCGCGATGAATTTGATCTAGCTAGGAAGAAAAGTGATGAAACATTCCCAGCATTTGCCGCGAAATTACATAGCCACCTTAGATTCTACTTTCAAAGTCGTGGTATCGAGAATTTGGATCGGGCGATGTCATTGTTGGTTGTAGACCGGATGAAAGAATTGCTCCCTAAAGTTTTGTTAGAACATGTGTTGACCCAGGAGGGTGAGAGTTGGTTACAACATGAACAAATGGCTGATGTTCTAGAGACGTTCGAGGCAAACATGAACATGAGGTCGTCAACGGCAGCTGTTTCTGATTATAGGCTACACCACTTGTCGGAACAAAGGGGAAAACACCCACCTTGGCCCTTGAAAGATGATAAGAGGGGACCAATTTCAAAGATGGGCTGTTACAAGTGTGGTAATGTGGGTCATCTGGCCAAGTTTTGCACTCAGAGGTCTAGCTTGGGGAAACCGGTAAGGAAAATCATGAAATGTCACGTCTCTTCTGCGTCTCGAGGTCTGAATTCACATGACAATGGAGCTATTCAAGCCGACAAATATTTCACGAGACCATTTGTGGACGTTCAAATACAGTCTGGTCCAGTCTGTAAGGCCTTGGTAGACAGTGGGGCAGAGGTTTGTGAAATATCACAAGATTTATGCCAGAGGTTGAAGCTTCCACGAATGGAAAAGATGAGAATCAGGGGATGGAATGGGCAGCCTACAGAAGTTGATGGGACATGGGTGATGTTGTTGCCAAGTTCAAAGGAAGGGGAAAGCATTGCGCCAGCAATCAGGGTGTGGTGTGCGGTGGTTCCTAATACTGGTGAACAGTTAATCATCACCCCACAGATAGTGGAGTTGTTGAATATATCAGAACCATACACAATGCCTGCCATGAGGGCCGGTACATTGGTAGGTGATTTACCGGTGATGTCTGAACATGACGAAAGTCTAAAATACTACGACGTTGAAGATTCCGGGTTGAAATGCCAGGGGCGATGCGGACGACGAGGTGTAGGTCAGGTCGGTGATATTATAAGAAAGTTAGATGACAACAACAACAACTTTAATAAATTCGTTCATGATAAAAGCAACAACAACAGCGTTGATAAATTTGTTCATGCCATCAACAACAGCAACGTTAATAAATTTGTTTATGACAACAACAATGGTGTTGGTAATTCAGATGTCGGTAATGTTGGTAGATCAGATGTCAGAGGTGCAGGCAAATCATATGGCGGTAATGTTGGTAGATCAGAGGTCGGGGGTGTTGGTAATTCAGATGTCGGTAATGTTGGTAGATCAGATGTCGAGGGTGTAGGTAAATCAGATGTCGGTAATGTTGGTAGATCAGATGTCGGGGGTGTTGGTAATTCAGATGTCGGTAATGTTGGTAGATCAGATGTCAGAGGTGCAGGTAAATCAGATGTCGGTAATGTTGGTAGATCAGATGTCGAGGGTGTAGGTAAATCAGATGTCGGTAATGTTGGTAGATTAGAAGTCGGTAGAGCCGGGAAATCAGATGTCGGTGGTACACGTAGATCAGATGTCGGTGGTATATGCAAGTCAGATGTTGCTGAGGTAAATAACTTGACTGCTGCTACAAAGAGATCAGAAAACGACAGGCCTAACGAAGATGATGGTGAGGATGAAGGTGGAGGGGCTGAAGATGACGATATGATTGATGAACTGGCAGTGGAAGAAGACAACCCAATAAAATTTAATAATTGTAAGGTTGGTGTGATGGAAGCTGAGGATGGCCAACCAGAGGAGGAAGGTGAAGATGATCATGATTGTGGAGATGGTGATGACGATGGGAGGGAATTTTCAGATGACAACAAAGTTGGTATTGTGGCAGGTCATAACAAAGTTCTAGATAAAGATGATGAGGGTGAAGCCCAGGTGGATGAGGACGAAGGAAGTTGTGGGTTAGAAAAGGACAGGTTCCTCAAAGAACAACAGGAGTGTCAGACACTAAAAGGATGTTGGGAGTGGGCAAAGATGAAAAGGAAGAATTTTTTTTATTGAGGACGGCATTTTATTCCTTAAGGAGACAGTGCTGGGTCATAAAATAAAACAACTATGTTTACCCAGGGTCAGGATACAAACTGTGATGGAGATGGGACACGATAGACCCTTTGCAGGACACATGGCGGCAAAGGCAACCCGACAACGCATTGCCCTCAGTTTTTGGTTTCCGGAGATGACTGAAAAGATACGAAAGTACTGTGACTCGTGTCGGATTTGTCAACTGAGGAATCCTGTGAAGATATCTGAGAGGGCTCCTATAACTCCTATACCGAGGAAGGATGAGGTGCCATTTTCACATCTAGTGATGGATTGCATCGGGCCAATGATTACTGTGGAGGTTTGACCCAAGCCGAGGTATAATTACGCCCTCGTGGTAATCGATCTTTTCACCAGATGGCCCATGGTCTATCCAATGGAACGTATCAATGCCAGAACTACCTGTGATGTGCTTCTGCAAATTTTCATGACCTACTCCGTGCCCCGGGTCATTAGTTCTGACCGAGGAGCCAACTTCACAAGTGGTTTAACGCAGGCGCTGCTTCAGAATTTGGGATGCAGCCCACGTTTCAACACTCCGGGTCATCCCGAAGCGTCCGGAGTCGTCGAAAGATGTAATCGGACATTAAAGAGCATGATCTTCAAGTTGGCACAAGATCATCCGCAAAGCTGGCATAGGATCCTCCCATTCGTTTTGTGGACGCTCCGAGAGAAGCCATCAGAGACTACACAGGTGAGTCCGTTTACGATGTTGTACGGAACACTGCCGAGGGGACCTTTAACGATTCTGAAGGAATCTTGGGTGGGAGAACGGTGCTTACCATTACATCTTGGAAAACAGCCCGATGAATATCTCCGGACACTGCGACATGATTTGGAAGTTGCACATGGTTATGCGGAGAAACATGCAGACAGGGCGCAACTACGGTATACCCATTACTACAACCTGCGCAGTAAAGTTAGGAAATTCCAGTTGGGAGACTTGGTCATTGTTCTTGTTCCATCAACATGGAGAAATAAATGGTGTAACAGGTGGCAAGGGCCTGGAACTATTGTACAAGTTAAATCTCCGCATTCTTATGTGGTAGAATTAGAGGGTCATAAACATCATGTACACGTTAACCATGTACGTAAGTACAATAATCGGATAGAAGAGGTTACCTTAAATAATTGTGTTATTTTGAGGTATGATGAAGAAGACTTTGGTAACCTACATCCTTATGACCCAGAGGTGACCCATGATATAAAGGTGGTACAAACCGAGATGAAGGAGTTAACACACTTGTCGGACGAACAGAGACTTCAGGTGAGGGAGTTGGTCGCGATGTATGCGGGGGTATTCCAGCCACAGGTGGGTTTATATCCAGCAGTACAACACTGTATTCGGGTGGATAAGGAATTTCGACCTCGACGGCTGCGTGCCTACAGAATGCCGGAATTGTTGAAGCAGGAAGTTAAGAATCAGCTGGAGATGATGTTAGAAAAGGGCATCATTTCGCCCTCAACCAGCGAGATGGCGAGTCCTATCGTATGCATTTTGAAGAAAAATGGTGCTGTTCGGTTGGCAGTTGATTATAGATATGTGAATAAACATTCTGCGGGCGATGGTTTTCCAGCTCCTGATGTTCAGGATGTGCTACAGAAGGTCAGCCGTGCACAATACATTAGTAGTTTTGATGCTAGGAGCGGATACTGGCAGATACCGATGGAAGAACAATCAAGATGGCTCACTGCATTTGTTTGTGATTTTGGTTTATATGAATTCACCAGAATGCCATTTGGTTTGAAATCAGCAAGTATAACTTTCGCCAGAGCAATGAAAAGGTTGACAAGTGAAATACAGGATTTTACTGAAGCATATATAGATGATATTGCTGTGTATTCTCAGACGTGGGAGGAACATATCCTCCATTTGAAAAGGTTCCTTGGTATAGTACAGCGGTCCGGTTTGACATTCGATGTTCAAAAATGTCGATTTGCACAAAACAGGGTGCCTTTTTTGGGACACATGGTCGGATCTGGGAAAATTGATGTTGACCCATTGAAGCTCCAGAAACTACAAGACATCCGGCCCCCAACGACGAAGAAGGAGGTGCGGAAGCTGGTTGGCTTCTTTAACTATTTTCAGCATTTTTTGCCGCAGCTGGCCCAAACTTTGAGGAATGTTACAGAGCTTACAAAGGGATCGAACAGTGGGGTGATACAGTGGACGCAGAAACACCAACAAAGCCTAGATGCGGTAATATGTCAATTAAGAAATATTGGAGGGTTACATTCAATTAATTATTCGCTCCCGTTCGGATTAATCACCGACGCAAGTGACCATACCGTGGCTTGTTGTTTGGTACAATCGGATGAACAGGAAAATGAACGTCCCATTGCGTTTGCTAGTAAAAAGTTAAGCAATACCCAACGACACTGGGCCATTATAGAGAAAGAGGCGTACGCTATCTTGTGGGCACTTCAGAAGTTTCGAGGTTGGATCTGTATGTCAAAGATCTATGTGTATACGGACCACAATCCTTTGACTTACCTTACAGAAGTAGTCCCAAAGAGTTCGAAACTCATGAGATGGGGGTTGGCTATGCAGGAGTTCGACCTGCATATCAGATATCGAGCTGGTGGTCGAAATGTGGCTGACTTCCTTACTAGGCCGGTAGAGCGAGCCGCAGCAGGTAGCATCTGATGCCCACACAGGAGTGAACATTCTACCCCGTAGAATATTCAACTGTTGGGGGGGAGGTGTGTAACAGTTGGAGCTATAGATGCAGCGCTAGAGAATTAATGATATAATGCCCATGCGCGAGAGACGAGGTGTGGGTATGTAAGCGAGAAAAAAAAAACAACGAGGACGGACATTTTTGTTAACGTTGGGAGGTAGCGAGTTAATTAACGTATTCTGATTTTGCCTTAAATTAAGTTGGTAATTAGTGGTAGATAAAACAACATTTTGTTAGTCGTTCTTCGTAATATCTGTGGGTGGTTAAAATAGACATTTGAAGAACCAAACATATCGAAACGAGAAGAAACCTCGAGAAATAACCCTGGTGCACCGTGTTGTCCGGAGGCCGTCGCTACAACAGCATTCGCACACCCCAGTCACACAACAACAGGGCAGTGACTACATGAAGAAATATACCCACGTATAAACACATTCCATAAATTCTCCAGAAGAAGGCCGAGTTGACGGAGAGGTATATAACGTCGGTGTCCACGAAACTAATTGTGAAGGAAGTTGTACAGAACCCCAGGTGTAACACTTACAGACTTGATATAAACTGTTAACTTTGTTATTCAATTTGTTATCCCAGTTGGACTAATTTGTTGTTTAATAAAAGATGAAAACTTAAAACCTTGAGAGTTTTATTCTGTCTACCCCTAACTCACGCTACATCATCTTCATCACTAATTATTATAGCTGGGTAGCATCATCATCAGCAGACCAATCTATCATAATCAAGATTTTCATCTTCATCGTCGTCCTCATCATCTTCGTCGTCGTCATCTTCATGTTCTTCATCATCATAGTGGATTTGAAAGAATGATGGCTTCTGGTTATTTCCAGAGCAAAAAAAAGCAATTTTCTGTCTATTATTTTTAAAATGCCTCTGCCAGAAAAAGTTATTTAAAATAAAATGAAGTAATTCGTTAAAGTCCATTAAAAGTTAAACCACTGTTAAACCACAAACGCAGCAAAATTATTATATTCCGGCGAGTATTGTCTTTGGAAGAAACAATGTTTTGGAGAAAAAAAAACAAAAGTTGCTGGCCCGTCGTAATTTAGATTTTTGTCTCTCTCGATTGTTGGAAGGTCTTCCACCCCAGAACCTGCTACCCTTTAACAGTTATCATTTTTATATTTTTTGTTATCATCATTTTCACTTTTTTAATTATTATTTTAAATAATCAGGCAGGGTCTCAGAAGCGCTAAATTTGTTGGGAACTGACAAATAAAAATATAACAAGATAATGTAAACAAACGAAGGACATGATTTCTATTAATATCATCATCATCATCTTCTTCTTCATCATCATCTTCTTCATCATCTTCATCGTCATAATCATCGTCATAATCATCATCATAAACATCATCATAAACATCATCATAATCATCACCGTCATAGTGATCATCATCGTCATCATCATCGTCATCATCTTAATCCTCCTCCTCCTCATTTTTTATCCTGTATTTTTATTATCATTATTCTCATGATTTAATCTTGTTGTTGTCATCGTCATCATCATCGTCATCATCATTGTCATCATCATCAGTACGTAGTGCAGCAGGTTTGCTTTCAAGAAAAATAAATTGGCGACCTTTTCAATCCAAAATTTTCGATACGATTTTTCTATTAAAACCTGTTTGTTCTTTGGTCAAAACTATCCAGATGGCAGTTGGAACAGGCAGAGACGGCACTTCCAGCCATGAGCACACCAGTTGTCATGCTCATCCGTCGTTATATTTCAAATTATATAAAAATTAAACATCATCATTGTTATATTTTTTAACCATTTAACTATTAATCCATATAATGAATAAATCCACTAGCTGAGTAATTGAATATATGAATGTTCAAAGGAAGGAAAATGAATGAATAACAGAATGAACAAATGAATGAAACTGAAAAAATGAATGAATAGCAGAATAAATAAATGAATGAATGAACGAATGCAATCAAGCTTCTCGCTTGTAGCCATTTGAGCAAGAGTTGAATTTAAATTTTAAAATAATTCATAAAACTGTTTGAAGTAAGCGGAAATGGAAACATGAGATGCTTCCAAGAAAAGTTTTATCTTCATCCGCGTGCACTCTTCTTTTGTTGATCAAGCAAGCACCACGATAACAATTCTTTAACCTCCAGTGTACTTAGTTCAATTGTACACTTCTTATATTACTATTTGTTTCTATTACTAAGTACTACATACTTTACGACTGTACTTTAATGTACATTATTATATTCCTTGCACTTGGAAGAAGTTTTTATAAAATGTTCTCCGGAATGTTTAGAATCATAACACGAGTAAGAGTATATACGCCTTTAATTATTGTTATATTGGCGGTACTTTGCAAACTGTACTTTTCAGTTGCAGTTCTGTTTTTGTACGACTCGCCTTCATGAGGCCTTCTTCGCTACAGAAGGTCATTATTATAATATAAACGTCATCATTCCAACTTCTTTAGGACATGATGTACTCCACGTCATGACATCGCCAACGATAAAAATTTACCAGGCTTCCACATAACAATAATAATTATTATTATTAAAGTTTGCTATTTTTGTTATCTATTTTTATGCATATTATTATTTATTTTATTAATATTATACTTATTATTATCATAATTATTTTGCGGTGTGAGTTATTATTTTTTAATAAAAATAAATTAATCACTTAATTATTTTTATTTGTATTCACGTCACCAGAACGTCATCGTTGTCATCATCTTGTTGGTCACTTCATCATTTATACCTTTTCAAAACATTCAATTCAAGTTTGTCATCATCGTCTTCATAATCATCCTCATCGTCATCATCGTCATCGTCATTTCCTTTGTACAAAGTGTAACATCAATAAAACCATAAATCAGGGGTTTAGTTGCTGTTAACCAGGAGAGCTTCTAAATAATGTCGGCACCTCAAACCGCTCACAAACATATACAAATTCAGCAACATACAAACATATACAAACTCACAAACATATACAAAACTACAAACATACAAACATAAAAATTTACAAACATACAAACTTATAAATAAACAAACACACAAACATACAAACTCACAGATATACAAATTTACAGACATACAAACTCACAAACATACAAACTCACAGATATACAAACTCACAGACATACAAACTCACAGACATACAAACACAATCATTCACTTCCGTTATTCATACATCGGGGTAACAAATTTACACAATCATACAATCAAATGCGTTGCTGGGCGGAACGACAGACGCACACAAATTTAAACCACACATACACGCACACAGACACCACACACACACACATACACACACACACACCACACACACACTCACACGGAAATAAGCAAAAATGCATGTTTGTATGGATGAATTCTCCTAGCCTCGCTTATAAAACATGTTGGCATTCATGTAAGTAAGTATGCAATTTTATTCGCTGACGTAACAGCAAATCGAACGATCGCTCAAGTCTACTTTAAAAAAAAAATGCAAAACTGTTGCATGAACATTTTGCAAAACATCTCCGAGTTTTTATCTCAACTTGTGATTTAATGGAGAAAAATATACAACAGTAAAATAAAAAATGAATAGATAAAAAAAATGAATGATTGAATGTATGAATGAATGAATGAATGAATAAATGAAAGAATGAATGAATGAATGGATGAATGGATGAATGAAAATGGATAAATGAATGAATGAAAGAATGAATAATAGCTAATAAACAAGCTAACAGACAGTTGAATAATAAATGTTCTTGCTATTTTTATTTATTTTTTCAAAATGTTTATTTCTCTCTCAGTCCTTAAAATTAGAATATTTTAGTGAGTTTTGTTGTGGCTGTTATTATTATTAATATTGTTAATTTATTCAAAATGTTTATTTAATTTAGTTTTACTTTTCCAATGCTCTTGCAAATAAAACAGATAAAAATTATTGTTGGCGTAATGTGAACGAACGATCTGCTTCAACCATCTGATTACCAACTTCTAAAATTAAACTTTTCGAGTAAGATATTTTTGACAGTTTTTTTTAGTATTTTTTAAAGTCTCCGAATAAAAATTTATTAAAAACATGCTGATGAAATAACTATTTTTAAATGAAAGTGTAGAAAATTAATTATTCTCCTCCGTTAGAGGACTGGTACGACTTTTCAGAGGAAATCAAAAAATGATTTTTATCTGTTTCCCACCTCTCTCTTTCTTTATATTTCCATGTTCCTTTCTCTCTCTTTCTATTTCTGTTTTTTCCTCCTCTCTTTCTTTTTCACTTTTTCTCTCTCTCCATTTGTCTGCGGCTTTTTTCTTGTATTCGTTTTCTTATCCTTCCTTCTCCCCTCCCATCCCTTAGTTCTTTGCTTACTTACACACTCTCATCGCGTGAACTAACAAACGCAAAGACATGCACACCTACACACCTACACACACACACACACACCTACACACAGACACACACACAACACACACGCACACACACACACACGCACACACACACATATATATATATATATATTTACACTGATATATTATTACATAATTATAATATTCAGTATATAAATAAATAAATATATATATATATATTAAAAGGATTGCAGTGTTGTAAGTGTACTTGAAATTGAATGCATTGACGTATTTAAGGAGTGCTATATAATGTGGCGATGCATTTGCAACTGTGATGAGCTTGGGTGTGAAAGTGAATGAAAATATTCTCACACTTCTCACCGGAAAAAATTGTTATTGTTATTTCAATTCATTTATTTTTTTTGGTGGTTTATTCATTCAGGAAAATTGAATAGTATTGCCATATAAATATTTGGAAATCGCGGTGAGTTCATCCAGAGTCTCTCACATATTTTGTGCACGCAAGTGTTGCCAGAAGTTTACTTTCTACGTGTGTGCGTGGTTCTGCGTTGTTCTGCAGCCTGAGTGCTGCTGCTACTGGTTTCAAATATCGTAACTACATCATATAATATTTCAAGAAACAATGATGATCAGAGTGGGTAATTTGCATGATGCAATTTGTATGCAGATATGAAATGAGTTTGACCTGTTACTCGAGAAGGCTTAAGCTATCAGATTTCTACCGTAAATAAATATGAACCTATCCTTAAAGTTTAACACTTTGAATCATTCCCCTCTCAGCATATTTTCATACAAACACATACATTTGTTGTCACACACATAAAAAACGATGTCTCACTTTGTGTTAATTCGTCATTGTCAAATCAAAGCCAACGAAAGAGCAAGCACACAAACATCACAAGTGAAGCTGCCGTAGAACTTTTTTTGATGGAAACCACCGAATGTTTCCCGCCAATCGTTCCAATTACATGAGCGCAATTTTCAAGTAAGCATTTTTATTGTATCGTATTTCTTAATTGTTCCACCATTTTCAAAACACGTCTTTCGACTCTCTAGATGATGAGCGAATCGCCCAACTTGTGGGAAAAATTCAACTTTGATAGTTTTGTTTCTACAGTTGGAAATTCAAATTTTTTGATGGCTTCATTTTTAACTGTTTTTTCAAATGTAGATGTATATAAATATGTTGTGCACACACTCAGGCAAGTTGTTGCAGGTAGAGATGCACAATTGTTCGGTCTTGCAGAATATTTGGCCAAAATTTTACATTTAGCTTCGGTCATTTTAAACCCGAATAGCCAAACTTTTGTTCATTTTTGGATTCCAGAAAAATAATTGTTCACTGATATTAGCGAGAAATTCATTTAGCCATCATAACTGTTAAAACATTTGAATTTGAACATGAGGCTGTTTATTATCTGAGAAAGATTTATTGAAGAGACATTAATCGCCTATTGTTTTTTTCAATAGCCTGTTTTTCATTCTAAAAAAAACCAATTTTCAAACTGTGAGTTGTTTAGTATTCGGGCTTAGGTTTCGGTCAAATAGTGGATAAACTATTCGACTAAATTAACTATTCAGTGCATTGCAAATGAACGTCTCTCTCTCTCTCTCTCTCTCACACACAAACACACACACACACACACACACACACACACACACACGTTTATATACACAAAAGCACATCTTTTTATGTATTTATATGCATACAACTTACATGTATGTGTGAGCAACATATCATACAGATACATACAACTTAAGCGCGCGCGCGCACACACAGGCAGACAAAGGCACAGACATATAGACACACACGTATATGGGTGAGTATGTTTAATGTGGGTACACGTATATGGGTGAGTAT